TCACATGCAAGTAACCATGATTATCTCAAGTATAAGAATATAGCACATCATCATTATTGAGGACAACACTGATGACATATAACCTAGCAGTGTCTCAAGTTGGGTCTGTCCAATGAACTTGTTCACTAACAAGTAGGGGAGAGCACGGGTCGGGTTCGGGCAGGTCGGGTCTGCGGGCATCAAACCCGTTCGAATTTTTTAATGTGATTCTTGAACCCAACCCGCGTTGTTTGGATATCGGTTTTTTCGGATATTAGAAAGTCGGATAATTTTGAGTATCGGTTCGGATATCGGTTAGTTCGGTTATAGTTAAAACGCATTGAAATTGCATCATTAGTTCATTAATATGAACTGTCAAAGTACAAAATTACTAATACAAAAAAGTAGTTGGTTCATCTTGAACCCAACCAACTAAATTACTTAGCAATCCAAGCATAAACTAACTAAGTATTTAAATTACAAACCCAGCACCAAAATAATCAAGTAATTAGACAGTTATCAAAAAATATAAATTAGGCCATATTGCAAACCCAGCATCATAGTTTACAAAGCATATCATATGCTGCAAAACCAAGTCTTCTAAACTTTAAGCCTGCACATATGACATATCATCAATGAATAAATGCATAATCACAAATCACAATGCACAGAGTTATTACATATTGGTTCAGATTGCTTCTTGTCATTTCAAAACCAATTGGGGGCATCCAAAGTAGATGGTGGTAGGTTTCAAGCCATCTCATTATGTAAAGATACATTGGAGGCCAAATCCAAATTACCACCAACTACTCCTAATACCAACCCAATCTTATTTCAGTATATGGTGGAAGCTTTCATCATAACCAAAACGGGGCAAATGAAGAACAGAAGAAGCAGTTAAGTTGTCAGGAAAAACAAATGGGCAAATGAATCGCACCGGAAATTGAATAGGGGTTGTGGGCAGTGAAAGACATCCAACACCAACACTTCCAACACCTATTGTTAGTCACCTTGGTAAATCATAAATGAGCAATAGAAACAATGTTGACAACATGTCAAAGCTTCCACTATTTGAGGAGACAATAAACTTGTAATAAATAAGTAAACCATTAAGTTAATTGGTGAAGGATCCACAGAAGATCCAGAAGCATTTTCAGTAGCAGCACATGTCCCATTTATTAAATCTGGAAAACATAAACACATCTTTTAAGGCATACTGAAAATAAATATACATCAAGCACATGTAAAAAATAAAATAACCTGTTTCCAGCTTCTCAAGTTCATCAATATTTTCTTCAATTGACAGAGGTTGGTTTTGTTTTCTCAACCAATCTTGACAACATATCAAAGCTTCCACTATTTTAGGAGTCAATGAACTTCTAAAGCAATCTAAAACCCGGCCACTAGTACTGAAAGTGGATTCAGAAGCAACTGTGGAGATGGGAACAGCAAGAATATCTCTAGCCATTTTTTAGAGTATAGGGAATCTTTGACTATTTAATTTCCACCATCTTAATAAGAACTCCCTTTTCATCATAAATCTTGTCAAAGTGTTCCCATACTTTGGACCTGGGTGCAACCTATTTCCTCTTTTGGCCAAAAACGGCAGCTATATCAGTCTCTTGAGTGGTATCATTATTCTCTATAATGGGAGCTTCCACTGCAGGTTCCTGGCTTAGAGGAGGTTCACCAGATACAGGCATGGTAACACTATCTTGACCATCCATCTATATAAGTAAATAAGCAATTGCATACACATAGGTAGATTAGGCTTATGTCCTTATGCTTCCACATTTTTCTCATAATAGAGGCTTCAAATGTTTACCTTTCATATATGATATATCTTTCTCATATGCATACAGAAACACAAGGTAGTCAGGCTCCATCATCATTCACATATGCATAATCATATATTGGACAATAGGCATACAGCTTTAAGAATTCAGTACAAGCCTCAGTCCATCATCATTACATATGCATAATCATACATTAGGCATACAACTTTAAGAATTCAGAACAAGCCTCAGGCTCCATCATCATTCACATATGCATAATCATATATTAGGAAATAGGCATACGGCTTTAAGAATTCAGAACAAGCCTCAGTCCATCATCATTACATATGCATAATCATACATTAGGCATACAACTTTAAGAATTCAGAACAAGCCTCAGACTCCATCATCATTCACATATGCATAATCATATATTAGGCAATGGGCATACAGCTTTAAGAATTCAGAACAAGCCTCAGTCCATCATCATTACATATGCATAATCATACATTAGGCATACAACTTTAAGAATTCAGAACAAGCCTCAGGCTCCATCATCATTCACATATGCATAATCATACAGTTTAGTACTCAGAATTCATATATAGGATACTTAGTCAGTGAGGAGCAAGGATTCATATTTCACCACAACTTAGAGACATCAACATATTATTAAGCATGAATACATCAACATCATCATAGATTCATAGTCACTCGTCAACATCATAGATTCAAATACAATCATCATAGGGTTTCAGCATGAATCATTCATTTTATCAAACATTCAAATACAAATTCACAACAAAACCGTAGATATCAATACCTCAGAGTCAGAGATAATGCAATAGACTACAAACTTTGGAATGATCGAAGAACGATTTCCACCGATTAGGGTTTCAGCAAGACTGTGTGTCTTTCTGTGTGAGAGCTTCCACCAAAATACCAAATAGAACTATAGAATTCTAAACTCTCAAGTAGTCAAGTGTAATTGAAGAAGGAAATCAAAGACCGAGAGAGGAGAGTAAGGGTGAAGACATAAGAGAGTTAGAGAGAGGATAGAGCGAAGAGTAGAAGACAGATCGAAGAGGCGGATAGGGTTAGGCCGGGTAGAAAAGTTATACGTATGTATATATATAAAATCCAAAACGACGCCGTTTTGGTATGTCGGATTTTTTGGGCGGACCGGGTTAGGGTTTTATAAACCCTACCCGCAACCCGGTACCCGCCCAAGCCCATATAATTTTTCGGATATGGATAGTCGGATCGGATATCCATATCCATTCGGATAAAACCCGAAAAAAAATTGGGTTTTTCAGGTCGGATCGGTTTATGCTCAGCCCTACTAACAAGCACTATGTTATTAACTTGATATCTCTACACCCATGACTAGTGGAATATAATCATCAGTTAATCCACATACTAGTCTATTAATTAGTAATGTCCCAAATTAATAATATTAGACCAGGGACAATTAGAATATTATGCTTGTTTTAAAGTGCAGCATTCCACAATTAAGTCACGTACTTAATTAGCTAGTAAACATAATATTCAGGGACTAAATATTAATAAAGAAAATTCACAATAATAATTAACATAAAATGAGTTTGTGACTTTATTAGTTAATGAGCATTAAACATTCATTGATAAATCATAAATTATGATTGTCCTAGGGCATACTTCCAATAGTCTCCCACTTGCACTAGGACCAATCGTGAAGAAAATGAATGCCTAATGCACTAGTATGACGTTCATGCTTTGCTTGTGATAGTGGCTTGGTGAGCGGGTTAGCCACATTTGCATATGTTGGTACTTTGCATATCTTGACGTCACCTCTATTGACTATCTCTCGAATGAGATGATAGCGTCTGAGTACATGCTTTGATTTCTGGTGTGATCTAGGTTCCTTGGCTTGTGCAATGGCTCCATTGTTATCACAATATAAGTCCATTGGTCCAACAATACTAGGAACGACATCGAGCTCAATGATGAATTTCATTATCCATACCGCTTCTTTTGCTGTAGAATCAGCCATCGTGTCTTGTTTAGAACTCTTCCAGACATTCCAGCTCACTACTCCCCCCATTGAGGCAAAACAGAAATCCTGAATGCGATCTAAAATCATCCTTATCGGATTGGAACTCAACATCTGTGTAACCATTTACAATGAGCTGATCTTCACCGCCATAGACCAAGAATGCATCCTTAGTTCTTCTCAAGTACTTTAGAATATTCTTGACCGCTATCCAGTGACTATCACCTGGATCTGACTGGTATCTACTAGTCATGCTTAGAGTGCAAGCTACATCAGGGTGAGTACATAACATAGCATATAGGGTTGGACTCGGGCCGGGTGGCCCGACCCGGAACCGGCCCGGTCCGAACCGGTGGCCCGGTCAGTGACCGGTCCGGGTAGGCCCGACCCGGTGGGTTTCCAGTCCGGGCTCGGGTCACCCATAACAAGGCCTGGGCCCAGTTCGGGCCAATTTTATTTTATTTTTTGGTTTTTTTCATTTGTTTGGGCTCCACCGGGTTGGGCTTGATGTTTAGGAGGGGTTTGGGGGTGGGTGGGTGAGGGGGGGTCAGGGATGGGTAGCTAAGCAAAAAAAAAATTAACCAAACCCGAGGCCCGGGCCGGTCCCGGGTCCAGCTATATAGAACCGCCGGCCCGACCGGGCCCGACCCGGCCCGAGTCCAACCCTAATAGCATACATGACAGAAAAAAAATTCAGCAAAACATCTCACCGAGAATCACCTCAAATTGAGGTGGCCAGACCACCTTTTGTAATGACGTCCTGACCGGAACCCCGCGCAGACAACACCATTAGAGGGTGTTTCCGGTGGAGTTAAACAAATTCTTGAAACATATTGTGTTTTATATATGTACAAAATGGGCCGTAAGAGAAGAGCCGCCACTTGAAGTGGCAGATTTTGTACTATAAGAGAAGAGCCGACACTCGGAATGGCGGCTTTTATGAAGTAACACAAGAACCGCCACTTGGAGTAGCGACTTTCCTTAACCGTGGTTAATTCCAACAGTATTTTGGAAATTATTTTTAACTCGGCAATAATTCAGGAATAATTTATTTAATTAGCATTATTTCAGGAGATATATTTTCTCTTACCACAGTCCCAACAAAAACAAAAACGAAGATCAAATATGGAGGAAATATCTGGCTTTCTGCGTTTATCCCTTAGGGTAATGATAGAGTTTTGAACAATTCAATATATAAACATTTTCAAGTGTTCGGATCAAATAAGCTATTCCCATGTTGTGGTTTGGAAATAACTGTTGGATAGGCTATGAGCCTATGAGTCTATCACCCATTGGTACTTGTCAATTGTGATGGCGAGGTATTCTCTTTCTAAAAAAATAGAGATTTCATTCCTAATCAGATATGTACATCAAAACAACCATTTCCAAATAGTACTCTCTTATAAACATTACTAATGGTTAAAACTTAAAACTACAAATTAAAACACGTACATTGAAGCCCAAACTAAAATCTCACAAAATTTCATTCTTGTTCAATGCTCTTTACCAATTACAGTTTACTCTTATTGTTTTCAAGGGGAAATGCACTCTGATACAGCACTTCAAAGGAAAGATCTTTTTTTTCCTTTTCCTATAATCATATCCTCTATTTTTCTTTGGTTGAGAAACCAAAACATAAAGCAGGCGAAAATGGCTCAGTACGGATTGACTTTAACTGTGGTCACGCAGGAAGTAGAGGTTCTCTTGCGTTTACTACCCCAGCAAAACTCTACCCTACTACCAATCTTCTTTTTTGTGCCAAGAAATCCATGACACTTATGGGTACCGCAATGGCACTTCTCTTCTGGCCCAAACTGTACAAATCTGCAAAAAGTAGGAATATTGAGTAAAGGTAAATTTGATCTTGTGAGAATTTACAATATTCATAACCCTGTACTAACTGATAACTTGACCCCTTTGAGAACTACAGCACTACAGTGTTGAGTAGCACTTAAGCATAAACACCACTGCAAAAAAAAGCTAAAACAAATAGTTTCACCTTCATCAATGAAAGGCTAAAACAACACAGAACTGTAAAGTTTTGGTAAGGTACAAGGTTACCTCCACCATAAATATCATGAATTAATACTTACAATTTTTTGAATGCTTTTCTTGGTCTCACTAAATTTATTGTGCGACATATGAGGCTTTAGTTGGTAAGTTTAAGTTAAATTAAATGAAACAAAACAAAGCAGTAAAGACTATGTTGCCTGAAACAGTTGAGTCTCAAAAACATAACCCTACCACATGGTCGGATGGTCCACATGCATCCAAAGCAAAACAAAAAATGCATAAGGCATAAAGTTCAGAAATGCACACCCGCGGAGCTGGGAGGCATGCTAGGCCCAGGCCCACCCCAAATTTTAAAAAAACTTTAATTAGTGATGTAAAAGACTCAGGTGGCCCAGCCAAATGCCCTGGCTACGCTCCTGGATATGCATATCCATTGCAAGCTTAAGTTCTGCAATTGTTTTAATGACTACTGATTCCAAGAGTGGCTGTTTGTTCAAACTCGCAGTGACAACCATGGTTCAAAGTTGCATCTTCTGATAGAGATAATTCAGACACTGAAATCAAGTAATGGCATACCTGTAGTCATAAGTCAACGGCTCTCCCACTTCAATGTCCCGGTCAGCAAACACACCGACACGTGTCTCATGCTCAACTTGCCTATAGTGAAGGAACAAACATATGAGCAGTTGTTCTATCAGCAGAGTATGCCACACATTTCAATAAAGTAAATCAAATATTCTTATTCATTTATTGCATGTATATGGGACAGAGGCGTTGTTGCTCAAAATATTTCATGGTAAACAGAAGAACAAAATCATGATTTGCTGGCTGAACATGATTACCATCAATAGAGATATGACAGTCACAAAACCCTGCCTAAGAAAGTATTTAAATTTATTTAACTTAAAATTTATAACTTTACATACAAAACTAGCTTATATCTTTAAATATTTAAGAGTTAATTTTATAGAAATTGCCCAATATAGGAGTAAACATAAACATAATTGCACAAATAGGAGTAAAACTTAAAACTTCCTTCAATAAGAGTAAACATTAATTTTGTACCCTTAATATCCCTAACCTAGTTAATTCTAAAATATGACTTATTTAATTTTAACCTAGTTAATTTATGACTTATTCGATAATAACAATTTATTTATTTATTTATTTTTGAAATAATAAAAAAATATAAAAAATTTAAAAAAAAAACTCAAAAAACTAAAATAAAATTCACCGCCGCCTCTGCCGCCTCTGCACTACCACCTCCAGTCACCGGGGGAAAAATGCCAAGTTCATTACGAATGTCATATTTATGGCAGAAAATAATGAAAATGTTGGCATTCGCAAAGAGAAATATGTCATGTTTTTGTCATTTTCAGAAAAAATGGCAATTTTTAGGGAAAATGGAATTTTTTTCACCGCCCGGAGGTGGTGGTGCAGGAAGGTTGTACAGGCGGTGGGAAAGACATCCATATTTTTTTAAATTTTTTTTATGGAGTTTTACTATTTTTTATTAATTTTTTAAAAAACTAAAAAAAATTAAAAAATATATTTTTTAAAATTTTTTATTTTATTAATATTTTATAAATTTTTTAATTATTTTTCTACGAATTTTTTATTTTTTTCGAATTTATTATGAATTAAACATTTAATTAAAAGTTGTTGGGGCTTAGGGTTTGGGTAGGGGTATACTTGTCCAAACACTAAAGTTACTCCTATTCAAAACATGATACTCCTATTTTTGCATTTTGCCTATGTTTTGCTCCTATTTGGGGAATTCTATCTTAATTTTATTGCAATACAGGCAGCATCACCAATGGCATGTGACATCTTTTTGTTTAGAAAAGGATATGTATGTGTGTAAATGAGCAAGTAAATAAGTGTGTGATTCTGAAATCTAATAGAGCGGACTAACCACTTTTCCAGTTTGCAGTTGGGGTCACAACTGTGATTCAGAAAACGTGAAAAATTTCCCTTGAAAGTTGCATCAATTGTGAAATCCTTCCATAGTTCACACATGTAGAAGTTTTTCTGTCTCTTGTATTTCATTTCCCAAAGCCTCTTTTCGCACATAGCATCATCAATTACTGAAACAGATAGTGAGGTACAACATTACAACTTTAAGTTCTAAATGAGTCTTCAAATATGCTCAAAAATCAGTTTAAACTTTTCCTGATGTAGTAGTATAGTAGTTCTCAAAAAGTAAGAGAGAGTTGAGAGTTTTGCTGATAAGTTGTTCCCTAAAGATAAGTTTGGCTACTGGCAAAATAATGCTTAAGTTGTAAACTTGTTTGTATCAAATTTCTACAAGTTGGCGTGCTGGACCCCCCTCAGTTTGAAATGAAGTTGAAAACTTCCTTTTTACTTGATAACATTTTACCTTCTGATGTAGGCATGTAGCAAATCTATATCTACTGAAGAGGTCCAAGAGAGAGGTGTGAGAATGTTTATGTCCAAAAAAAGGGAGACGTCACACTCTAGTAACTGAGTACTGGAAGGGTCAAGGACAAAAAGTATGAAAAAGCATAAAAGGGTCCTGAAAAGATGAGTATGCAGGCAAAACAAAGGATGCCAAAGTGAGTTTCTAAAAGCATAGTTTACAAACAAAAATAGATTACATCTTGGACAATGGATATAAGAGGAGTATGAATACAAATACATAGGCAAGAGTGCATCATTTGTAGCATTGGCTGGAGAGAGATGATTCATATTATAACAAGATCCACTTTGAGATGAACATCGTCTCCTCATGATATACTTATTGCAGAAAATGAAATACAACAACATCCAAGCCTTAGTCCCAAAAGAGTTTGGGATTGGCTAACAAACTCTTTTGGGTTTTGCATTTATTTGTAATATTTCATTTTCATTGCAGGACATGAAATATTACAAATAAATCATAATAATCCAATTGAATTTTTAGTTGTTTTAGCAAGCAGATAAGGATTTCTAATCTGCATTAACATTCTGAAGGGTTTGATAATGTATTAGATTGTACAATGATGACCACGCAAATATCCTCAGATAAGGACTGTAGAGTACGTAAATGAGGGAACCAGACCATCAATAAATTGAAGAATCACCTTCTCCGATATACTCTATGATGAAATCCCCCTTTTTGATAGCTTCAGCTGCTACAACACCCCAACCACAGAGTTCAGTCTGATTGCAATACAAACAGAGTTATATTAGGGAAATAATAAATTAAATATTTAATCCAAATTCTTTAAGGAATAAGGATAAATACAACTCAACATTTTTAAGGAAATTAGTTGTATAGCCGTATCAAGTAAGAACATTGTTTTGCACTGATAGAATCTCACCTTGACTAGTTTAATCTTTTTCTCTTCTCTGAATGGCCTATTTGAGCATTTACCAGAGCAGCGACAAGCCTTTGAGCAGCTAATGGACTGGACCCTAAAATCCAGAAGCATTACAACTTCACATGCAAGCCTGATTTTCTTAACCTATTGGTTTATACCCGGAGTTTATTAGGCTCATCCAAGTGGAGCTTAATTCGTCTCAGAAGAATTAGGAATATTATGATAAGCATTTTCCAGAATGGGGTCTGCAGTAATCTGTGTGAGAAGTTTCACTATGTTTGAAATGAGGTCAGTGAGGATGGCAAGAAATAGGTTTCTGAGGAAGGTGTAAAACAGGGGTTCTATAAGGAGAAACGCGTTAAGAAGTAACAGTAGCTTGAAGGCAAAGCATTGGATGGACAATGCTTTTGCATATTAGTTGGATTAATGTTTCACAAGAGTATGAATAGAGTTTATGACATTATCACAATATGTGCAACTATAGAAATGATGAAGAGGAGAGATTATGCAACAAGAAAGTCCAATTGCACATTTGCACCCTTGTGCAGTTATGCATCATTACACAAGAGGTCTACTAAAAAATCTTCTTCAAAATTTAAGAACTCAGAGATCAGAAACCTTATCGTTAGCACACTCATAAAGGATATTATATCACGAGTGGAGAAAAGTCGTGCAAGAAATGACAAACCTGCAGATACAATTGTCTAAACACTTTGTAGAACTGCAATTTGTGCATCCATTATCAGCAGCAAGATTGTCACGCTTTTTCTTGATGAGGTACACATCTACATCAGTCAAGGGAAATCATCTCTCTACTTTTTAAGTTACGCTTCATGTTTGATTTTTCATGCCATACAACTTCAATGAATCTAAAGATGGCTATTCACTTATTTGGACTAAAATCAAGTACACCCCACTGTCTTATTCATGAGATGCACCTCATTGGTCAAAAGAGGGCTCTCTGATTTTCTTTACATGAGATGCACCTTTTTCAACATCTTGACAATTATATCTTACTGTTACATACTTATGTTTATGAACTATTTCATCGTGACTTCATATTCCACAACTTCTCATGACATGAAATGACCTAGCAATTTCATATTCAAATTAGTCAGCTAAGTGCACATGTTAAAAGCAACATAATGGATCTTAGATAGAATTTCAAATTTCAAATCTGAAACTCAAATCCCTATCAAATTATGCCACATAATTCAAAATGGGTGAGTGGAACAGTGGATCCATAAGGAAAGGGGGAAATAAAGCTAATAAGCAGACATTTGGTTCATTCTGAACATGTAAGAATACTGATTTCACAAGGAAAGTAAAATTTGGCATGCAAAGCTGGAAATGCATAGGATACTTCGCCTGATTGCCTCATAATGAGGTGGCTCCAATTTGCAATCATTTGTATCCTTCCGGTTTAAGTTGATCTTAAACTCCTCCTCTGTGTATGGTAGAGGCAGGTAACTGAATATTTCCTGACATCAAAATTATGAGTTTTAGCCAGTAAAGTGAGCTAGTGGTGATAATTAAGGCATTAGGGCTGAAGAAAAGATAAATCGTTTGGCAATATATCGTGCCTAAGAAAGACCATTCTGTCAAGGAGCCACTTCGGGGTGCAGGTAGTTGGGATTACGGTCTCAAGGTTGAACTGTTTACTGATTCGCTTTCTCTCATTTCTCACCTCTGGATTTTAACTTTCTTTTGTGGGGTGAGGAGGTTTCATGGAAGAAAAAATCTTGAAACAATAAGGATAATGACCTTTTGCTGAACACAAAAAAGTGAAGCAAAAAGGTTTTGCATGAAGCAACTATTAATTTTTACACTTAAGTGACCACAATATATGGGTCATCCGGAAACAGTCTCTCTGTGCTTTAGTACAGGGGTAAGACTGTGTACATCCGACCCCCCTTACCCCACCGTAGGTGGAAGCCTTTGCGGCACTGGGGTAAATGAAAATGAAAATGAAGTGACCACAATAGTATACTATAGTAACTTTTAGTCATATTTTGTAAATAAGTTAATATCAGTAATATGTTTTACAAAAAAAAACTCATTAATAATTTTTTTTGCAGAGAACATTAATAAATTCTTAACAATTGTATAATTAATCATTATAGCAGATAACTAGCATAGGAAATCATCGCCTAACCTCAATACTTTTGATTGGATCTTTATGCTGCTCATCAAACAAGATATGTCAGTCCTGTCAGCAAGCCTAATCAATCAAAATAGCAATCAAGTGATAAACTAACAGAAAGCATGCTACAACTATACTATTTAACTGCATTCCATTCATAATGGTTTTACTAGTTCACAAGTAATAGTCAAGATAAATTTGTCTACACTTATTGACACTAAAACATGGGGAAAATGTCATTGGAAATCAGGATACCAATCATTTTTTCTTCAGATGAAATATGAATTTTATCATTGTAACAAGGTCGATTAAGTTTATCACCTCATTTCATATTCTTTCCACATACATGCATGGACTAATAATCCCAAGGTTACAAGAAAAAACATATCCTGATCTGCACAAGTTTAAGGGCCTAAATGCCACACGATTATTCGCAATACCGGGAAGGTTCAGAGTTCATCATTAAAAAATCACACTATTGAACAATGGGAGAAAATGACCTCCTTTTGCAGGTGCCAATCTTCATGATGTTTCCAACAGATTGCCTGCCCTGGATGGCTAGTAAGATGAACAACATACTCAGGAAATGCTGCACATTTGTCATGTGATGCCATAAGGCACTTGATGCATCTCCATATATGATTGGTTTTGTTACAAGAGTAACATACCTGTTCAAGGAAGAGTAGACACATCTACGTATATAAGTTGCACTTATTTACAACAAGTAGAACTTTCTATAAAAGCTCAACTAGAGAGCTCCCATGAAATCACTTCTCAAGCAAAATAGTCCAACTTTCCATGGAATCTAACTCCCTTGCCCATGGAATTTAACTGCCTTAGTTTCAAGTAAAATAAAACAATTTTCCTTGGGGGTGAATTTGTATTGGTGTGTCAATTTACTCAAGTAGAGAGTCAAATCGCACCTATTCTCTAGGGAAATTGTTACTTTCCTCCTGAACAAACAGTCTTAGAGAAAGGTTCACGATTAAGAAAATCTGGACAGGTAATACACTAACACAATCAGGAATCTGTCACAGTTCGAAAAAGAAAGTAGCCAGAAGCAACAATGAGGACAGGAGATTTATCATGCATAAGAGTATAAGAAAACAATATAGAAGCCCCCAAATTTCCAAAAATAAGAAGATCTGGACAGATATGGCAATCAAAGAAGAAATTCTTGGATCAAAACCAAAAACAGTTTGTGTGTTATGTAGCCAGATTCTTTGCGCCATTGAAAAAATTAAGAAGGGGTCATGAAAGGGGCTGTGAAAATATGGGGAGTTTTCCTTTTGCAATTTTACTTAAATTCTTCTTAATTGTTTATTGGATATTTTATTAGCATTACAAAGCTCACATTTATCAGAGAGATTACATGCATGTGAATGCCAAAAACAAGGGAAATCCTAGGAAATCACATCCTAAAATAGATTAACTAATGAAGGTATTAAAAAATCAATTAAGCAAATCAATCATCTACCAATCCTCATTATTATACTTGGTTGCTCTCTTTATCTTTCCATAATATTAATAGAGAAGAGAGGAGCAAATGATTTTCGTATATTCAATGATAATCAAAAGGGTTTACAATAGGTGCTATTTATACAATCACTAATCAAGTCTATAAGGTAATACAATAATAATGATAGAGATATGTAACGGCTAAATGCAATATTATGTCTTAAATGTCGATTATTTATTTCCTTCAATACGCCCCCGCAAGCCAGGTATTCTGTCACTTCCAAGAATCCTGAGCTTGTCTCTAAGAAGGATAAAGTGTTGCCGAGGAAGTGGTTTGGTGAGGGTGTCAGCTATCTGAGCGGAAGATGGAATATGATGCACTTGAAGAAGACCACGTTGAACCCGTTGCCGAACAAAATGAAAATCAATAGCTACATGTTTCATGAGGGAGTGGAAGACAGGATTGACTGAAGATGTAGTAGCACCTTTGTTATCACAAAGGAGGAGTGGAGGAGAAAGGAGCGGGTGCCGCAACTCGCGCAAGAGAGATTCGATCCAAATAATTTCAGAGGCAGCAGTGGAAAGGGCTCGATATTCTGCTTTCGTGGAAGACTTAGCAATAGTGCATTGCTTAACTGATCTCCAAGATATAAGAGATTCCCCGAAAAAGATGGCATATGCACTGGTAGAGGAACGGCCATCAGGATTCCCTGCCCAATCAGCATCAGCAAAGGCACAGAGAGAGGGGGAGGTGGTGCGACAAAGATAGAGGCCATGAGAGGCAGTGCCCTGCAGATAGCGCAAGAGACGTTTGAGAAGTTGCCGGTGATTAACCGTAGGTTTATGCATAAATTGGGCCAATTTGTTAATAGCAAAGGCATCATCTGGGCGAGTAAGATTCAAATATTGAAGAGACCCGAGGACCTGTCGATAGAGAGTGGCATCACACGAGCCCGAACTGTCAAACAGAGTTAAGGAGGCAGAGGAAGGCAACGGTGTAGCCACAGGATTAAGCTCATCGATTTTTAAAATCTTTAATAAGTCCATAATGTATTTATGTTGATCGAGAAAGAGTCCACCTTGTGTAGGAGTATTCTGCATGCCCAGGAAATAATGTAAGGCTCCTAAATCCTTGATAGAGAACTTGCATGCCAATGAGTCAATAGTCTGGCGTATCAAGTCTGGTGTAGAACCAGTAACAATGATGTCATCCACATAAACCAACACATATATATAAGATGGATGGCAGGAAAATATGAACAGACTAGCATCGGCAAAAGACTGATGAAATCCAAGTGAGAAAAGGAATCCACTAAGAGCCTGATACCATACCCGAGGCGCTTGCTTAAGACCATAAATGGATTTGCGAAGATGACACACAAACCCAGATCCATCATTAAAACCAGGTGGTTGCTTCATGTAGATTTCCTCCTGAAGAGTCCCATGTAGAAAGGCGTTGTTGACATCTAACTGATGTACTGGCCAATCATGAGAGAGAGCAATAGTCAAGACAATGCGAATAGTGACCGGTTTTATGACCGGACTAAAAGTATCAGAACAATCAATCCCGGGGCGCTGATGAAAACCCTTAGCGACGAGCCGAGCCTTGTAATGATCCAATGAACCATCCGGCTTATACTTCACTGTATACACCCATTTACAACCTACAATATTTTGGCCAAGCTGGGGTGGAACAAGATCCCAAGTACCCTGTCGAACCAAGACATCAAATTATACTGACATAGTACTCCGCCATCCTGATACCTGCATAGCTTGAGAAGCACAAATGGGAATAACATGGTGAGGTAGGGGAATATTAGTAGCAATATTGGCTTGTTTACGTGGTCGAAGGGTCATTGGATGGGTACGTTTGGGCGGGGAATTATCGAGGTGTGGGGTTGAGGTAGTGAGCTCAGTAGTATTGGGTGGATGAGGGGTGGGTATATGGGGATTGGGTTTGGGTCGGCGGTGGTAAGTAATGATTTGTGGCAGTGTGGGTTGAGGACGGGGAGAAGTTGGGATATCACTTTGGGTGGAGGTATTAGGTGACTTACCGGGAGTCAATTGTTGAATCGAGGTATGAGTAGGAGAAGACACCCCCGAGACCAGAGTACCTGAAATGGGAAGATAAGACATGGAAGGTTGAAGCCAATGATCAACTTCATAAGTGATATTTGAGACTGATGGTGGGGATGTAGAAAAGGGGAAGACTGTCTCGTCAAACACAACATGTCTACTGATGAAGATCCAGTTAGTGGTAACATCAAGACAGCGATATGCACTTTGTTGCCAGAATTGTTATTGCCACGTCGATTGGGATTGTAATTAGCATTGGGTCGCTGGTTTCTGGGTTGATTCCGATTAGTATTGCGGGCTGAATAATTAACCAGATTGGGTTGCTATTGAAATTGGGCTGCTGGTCCAGGGCCCAAAATGGACGGGGCTGAATCTCTGCGAGCCACAAGTGCTGCCGACTCAAGGAGTCTTATTAGCCGTCACCACAACGACGGAGGAATTAACTTTTTCTTCTTTCCGCTTCAAGGAGTCTTCGAAGCCAGTGAGCAGTGTATGGATCGTCTTAAAGCTGTGGTCGCTGCAGGTACGAATGGAGTTAGCAAACGATGCGAACTCGGGTCGGAGTCCCTCCGGTGCTTGAACGATGAAGTCTTCTTCATCAACAGGGCGACCGGCCTGAGCCAACTCATTGGCGAGCGTGCGCAGGTGATGGAGATACGCTCCCACTGGTTGAGAGCTTTGTCGGTAGTGGCGGAAGGTGTCCTTCATGTTGCGGATTTGGGATGGTGAACGAGTCCCATAGAGTTCCTCTAGAGTCTTCCAAACTGCGGAAGATGTGCGAGCAAACCCAGTCAAAGATTTACAGGTTGAATTCAGGGAGGCTACGGGGGCATGTCGGATAAGCCGGTCTTGCCTAGTCCACCGAAGATGGCCATCAACATCACTCTTCAATGGTGGGGTAGCATCATCATATATAAACTGATCAAGATGCGACCCAAAAAGAAGATCCAGAATCTGATCCCGTCATACTAGGTAATTTGAACCATCAAGTTTTTCTGGGAAGTGACTGGGATTTAAAAGGATTAATCCATTTGGGGTGAGAGGTGTTGCAACTGAGGTTGAAGGGGTATTTGAAGGGATAGGTGTACTGGTAGGGATGTTGTCTAGGTTTCCTTGCTGGAGGAGAACCTCAGGTTGGCTGTCGTTTGTTGTCATAGGGAAGAGGAAAGGGGCTGGTTAGAGCTCAGGGGCTCTGATACCATAATAGAGAAGAGAGGAGCAAATGATTTTCGTATATTCAATGATAATCAAAAGGGTTTACAATAGGTGCTATTTATACAATCACTAATCAAGTCTATAAGGTAATACAATAATAATGATAGAGATATGTAACGGCTAAATGCAATATTATGTCTTAAATGTCAATTATTTATTTCCTTCCATAAATATTACATTCTGGCATGCATCATTATGGATGTCATATTCTTAGATCTTCCACCAATGATCCCCTTAGTCTTTCTTAAAATGGATAAAACATGTGAAATAGAATTAAGAACATGTTCTTTTCTGAATAAAAAGCTTAATAGTAGGGCAAAAGGAGCCTGACAATGGTAAAATGTGGAAGATAATGTCATTAAATCTTACTGGATAAATATCACGCTATTACTTAAGCATGTGAAAATGTCAGACAGACATTTCTGCTTGTACCGTATATTTGGTGGAATTACATAATTAAGCGGTTCAAATTACTGCAAATTTTAATGTCAGTAAGAAATAATATTTTTTGGGAAAATGTACATAAAAGGTACTTGTTGTTGGGCCCGTTTTCAGATGGGGTCATGTGTTTCATTTTTTATCAAAGTGGTTCATGTGTTTGAATTCCATTATCACAAGAGAGTCATGCCTTAAAAAACGCCCGAGAAAGACGGTTAATAGTAACTCCGGTTTTCAAATGTGCCCGAAAAAATAAAAAAAAATACCAGAAGGTGCGCCTCAACAAGATGACCGTTGGGCAATCTTTCTAACGACCCTTGTCACCGGAATGTCCATCGGAAAAGTGATATTAGCGAAATCATTTTAAAAAAATAATTCAAACAGATCCAAAGGCAAAGGTGGTTTGGAGGTCATCTTGATGAGGCGCACCCTTCCAATATTTTTCTTTTAATTTTTCGAACACCTTTGAAAACCGGAGTTACTATTAAACATCTTTCTTAAACGTTTTTAACGACGTGACCCTCTTGTGATAACAGAATTCAAACACATGAACCACTTTGATAAAAAATGAAACACATGGTCCTATCTGAAAACGTGCCCAATCACAAGTATCTTTTCTATACTTTTGCCTATTTTGTTCTCTTGAAAAGTACCAGAAAATAAAAGTTGCACCATCATGATAACTTGATAAGAATATAAAAGATACGTTATCAACTGGAAGTTAAAAACTTGAATGCAATTGGGTGGTTATTTTACAGTTAGCTAGTGATACTTACATGTTGAGGACACTTGAACTGTTTTGCAGAAGAAGAACACTGAATTTCTTTTGCACATTGCTGGTGTACAACTATCTGACACCCTCGAACAGAGCACGATATGTCTTCACCGGGGAGAATTAAGTTGAGGCAGACAGAGCACTCAACCTGAATGAGAAAAAACAATAAAGACCAGCACCTATCTGCACTGCACGATGGAATTTACATTCTAGTGATTACTTTTTCCAGCTATCCAATAATCCACCTAAATTTCAGTTCCATAGAGCACTGTGTCTAGACTTAGTGTATGTTGTTATATAATCTATTTATGAAGTGCTCACTGTCCAGGCAGTATTACATGCTCATGTGGGATGTGGGATTGGAAATGGACAGGCTGGTTTGAGTCTACCAAGTATATGCAAATTTGATTTGTAAATCACTAGATCATTTCAACCTTTAGATGCTAGTTCATTCTTTAACTCTAAACGAAATGTGATGAAGGGTGCGAAAGTAGCTTTTGCATGACATTGAAAACAGAATAGTTTTCCTTATAATTCACAAGTTTATATGAGTTAATGATAGTGACCAACAGGATTTTCCGTGGAAACGTCAATGTTTCTGAAACGGCTTTTTTCTACCACTACTTTGAGGATATCTAAACTTTAAAAAACCATTCACAGGGTGAGTAAAAACATACGGAGACATTCAGCAGGAAACTGATGAGCAAAAATATGAGTTTTTACCAATTTGGGAGCTTGAGCTAGGAACGGCAAAAAACAACGCTGTTCAGAAACGCCAGCTTTGACTCTCCGCATGACCCAATCTTTAACAAACTCATCTAGACTCTTGTTTGTGGTAGCAGGCCTCTCAACACCACCACTCAGGCTAACCGTAACCCTAGATCCTCCATTACTCTGACACATTACCCCGTCTTCTCGAAGCACAGTCCGGAGCTCTGGCTCTGAACTTATGTCGGAGTCCGGATTCTCAATCGTGGGGTCAGGCTTAGTACAACATCCGCTGTCCAGGTAACCGGGTTTCAAGTCAGTCTTGGGGTTCTGGAGCATTTGGTCACAGTCTTCGTTGTCATGTTGAGATGCGGACTTCGAATTCGGGTCATCGGCATAATGACTGGGGCAAGAAATTTGTGACAACGGTGGCTGGGACGGTGGTTGGGGTGGCGGTGGTTCAAGAACATTTGTAAAATCGGGCATTGTTAGGGTTATGGTTTTGAGAGAGAGAGAGTGAAGTGAGAGATAGGGATGGATGAATTGAGTGCGTCGTGACAGAGTTGAGAGAGAGCTGAGCCGCGGGAGTGGGTAGTGGTTGAATGTGTGAATTATGCGCCAGTTTTGTTTACGCGGGAAAATTGATTTTGTAATAAATTTTGTAAAATAAAATAAAACACGGTTCGGACTGGCCAGTCCAAGTCAGACCCGGGCCAGCTATATATTGGTCTTCCGTTCAAAGATTTTTGCGGTTCTGAATTTCAGTGCAATATGATTAGGAGTGGAAACAAGCTAGGTGGAAACAAGTCACGCAGTCACGTAGGAGTGGACTCGGGTCGGGCCAACCGGCCCGGAACCGGACCGGCCCGCTACTATGCGGGCCCGGATCGGCCCGGTGAACCAGTTGGTGCCCGGTTCGGGCCACCCGGCCCGGTGAGGTAGACGGTTCGGGCCCGGGCCTGCTAAATAGTGAACCGACCCGGCCGGTTCGGGCCAATTTATTTTTTTTCTTTTTTTTTTTGAGTTTTTTTTTAAGTTTTTGGGTTGGGCTGGGTATGATGGGCCATTTGAGGTGGTTTGGGGTGGTTTGGGGGTGAGGGGGGAGGGTTGGGGGTTAATTAGGTAAAGCCAAAAAAATTCACATGAACCGAGGCCCGGCCCGGACCCGGGGGTTACCCGGGCCGCTTCCGGACCTCCCCTTTCATGAACCGAGGCCCGACCGGGCCCGAACCGGAACCGGTCCACCCCTACAGTCACGCTTGTTTAAAAATGTTTAGGTTACCCTTCTAAAAATGGATCTAGTCACCCGACTAATCCTCGTCTAGGCACTAGCGATGGCCGGAAGCCCCAATTTTGGTTCAGACGCTCCGATTAATTGATTTGGCGTCTAGGTGAATTAGTCGACTACCTGAAGCACTTATTTGCTCACCCAGAGCACTTAATCAAGCGACCAGATTCGCCCAACATATTTTTGCTTTTTTATTTTAGCTTTTGAGAATTACTCAATATAGGATAAAAACATATACAAAGAATAAGTTGATTAAAATCTCCCAAAGTATGAGTGGTTGTATTTTAGAAATAAAACTATGATAATCTTATTCATGAACTTTATCTTTGTTTTAGTTCTATTTAGGGAGTTCCTCTTTTCCTAAGAGATATAAGTTACCTTTAACTTTAACAGTGCATATGAGGAAAGCTACTAATGGTAGATTGGTGTAAAACTATACATGTTTGTATATAATCTTAAGTGAGTAGGTATAATATAGTACTCCCTCCGTATCTATTTAGATGACCCATTAGGCTTTTTGAGTATTTTAAGAAGAAATTTTGGTGTACTGTAGATAAAGTAAAAAACATTGTAGATGATTAAAATCTGAGGTATAGCATAATCAAGCCCATGTAGAATGAGCACTGTAACAAAAACCAAACCATTACAAATGTGCACTGTAGCCACTACGCATAAGAAAAAATGGAGAATACATTGTAACAATTCGTAGAAGGGGTACACTGTCAGCATAATGGCGTAAAATTTTTAGTTTTGGAGCCACAATGATTCCAAAAATTTCACACTTGTATAAATATAACCAGGCTGATGAGTTTGGTCCCAAAAAAATGGTGGATTCGTAGATGAAGTACACGCCTCTCAGACATAAGGAAAACCTCTCAGACTTGTTGTCATCATCAAGGGGGCCATTTGAGGGCCTTTAAACAGGTAAAGTTTGTCATCATAGAGGGCGTTTAGGTCTGGTTGCTATCTGGAAGCCGTCCAAGACCAAAGTCACGGTTCCAGGTCAGAAATCGGCCAACCAAAAGCCCAACCTGAAACTTGTAAATCGTGCAGCTGTACTGGACTTCCTCAATCAAAGGACGGGCAATGGAAGGGTCAAGCGAGGTGGATTCACACATGCTAATAATGCTTTTGTCATCTCTCGCCGAACAGTGTACATGATATGGAAAGTGTCACAAACATGCAGGGATGCTAAGAATGTTTTTGGCATCTCTCGCCGAACAGTGTACATGATATGGAAGGTGTGGAAGGAAGCCCAAATCAGTGGACATGGCCACTGATGGACTATAAGTATAGAGAGAAGTGAGAGCTAGAGAGAGAAGTAGTATATTTGCTTTGTATCAATGAATTCTGAACTCCCATAACTACTCCCAGAGGGAGTATTTATAGGAAAAATTAGGGCTGGGCTCCCAAGTCTTGGGCTTGTGAGGCCCGTTTACAATAGGGCCACTAATGGGCCGGATACAAAGTACATAGAAAAGATTAAGTATAAAGTCCTATTCTGGAGGCCATCTATGGCGATGAGGGCACGGCCGATGAGGGCACGACCGACGAGGGCACGGCCGACGAAGACCCGGCCGACGAGGTCACCGGCTCTTCCTGGCTTCTGGATCATGTTCTGAGTAGACTTCTTCTTGGCCGACGAGGGTCCCACCAGGCGGTCGTGGTACTTTCTGTTCTTCTGAGTGTGTGGGCCCTGGGTCCAAGCCCATATACTCCATCAAGAGTCCCCCACTCTCTGAGCTGAGACGTAGACGAAGTGAGGGAGAGTAGATTTCCTGTTTCTGACATTTTCTTGTCGTTGTGGGACCGCTATGAGGTTTTCCCTGCTTCAGCCATTGTGAGTACTCTTTGCTCTGGGCTTCGTGCTTTGCGTCGTTACGGGCACCGTCATTGGCCGTTGTGGCCCTTGGTGTGGACGGAGAGTGTCGCTTGGTTTGGGGACAATGAGTGTCCCTTTGCGTGAGTGGCCGATGAAGGCGATGTTTCTCTACTCCTGGCCGTTGATGACTGAACATTGTACCCATGGCCGAGGAGACTATTGTGGTCATTCCCCGTTCGAGGATGATGAGTGCCCTTCTTCCTCCGAGTAACCGGTGAGGGTGTTGCTTGCTTTATTTGGCCGTTGTGGCTCTCATTCGGTGTCTTTAGCTGAAGAGTGATGGTGTTCGCAGCTTGGTGTCCATGTTTTGAGGACGATGAGTTCCCGTCTTAATTTATGGCCGAGAGTGGAGTGTGCGGGCTCAAAGCCGTTAAGTGCGTTGCGATCTTAGGTGTTACATCTTTGGGGGGAATTCTTTCTGCTTACTTTGTTGCGGCCGGTTATGGAGACTGTGGTGCATATCTGATGTTGTAGTTGTGGACTTAGTATATTTTTGGATTTGTTTGATTTTGTCCTGATTTTCAAAGGCCGGTGTAGTCCCCCACTCCCCCACTGCTTCAGGCCGAAGAGTAGGTGAGGGGTGAAGGAGTAAAGGATTTGCCTAGGCCGAAGCGGACTCTTGTGTTCCCCTGAATCCAATTCCTTGGCGATTTCCTGACCAAGGTAACCCTGTGGGAGAACCCTTGGACGCAGGTCGCTTTCAAGAAATTGTTAGGAAATTGATGTAACGTACCTCGAAAATACAGCAGCGGAAGTTTAAAATTTTCTAAACAGATTTTTCCTGATTATGACAAAACAAGGAATATGACAATAATAACAGATCTGAGTTAGAACTTACAGATCTTCCAGCCTAGCAGTGATAATCCTTGACCTTAGGTATCCACGTGATTTCTCCTCTCCGAAAGAACGGTTAGATCTCCCTAAGAGAAAGGCTAGGAAATCTCTTTGCGGGGAAATAAACTGTTAATACTGAATCTAAAAACTGGTCTGTGAATTATGAAAGAGGAGGGTGTATTTATACTAGTTCTAAACTAGTTTCCCAATCACAATGAAAGTCTTTCTCATTAATGAGTTCTAGTCTAACTAGGACCATTACCATTTATAAATTAAATAAAAATATACCCCATAATAATAATAATAAAACGTACGTACATACTTAAGAGGAATGGGGAGATCCACCACCTCATTCTCTTTATGTACATTTGTTATTAGTATTATTATTGTATTTGTATTTTCTTGAACTCATTTTAATTCTAAATTTTACTCAAGAAAATATCAACTTTATTTAATTATAAATACGTTTTAATTAAGTATAATAAATCTAATTTATCAGACTTAATTAATTCTATCAAATAGATCTCTCCTTCAACATCACGAATTAAATATGTTTAATCTAATTAATATTTAATCAATTTTCAGTATTATGAATTAAATATTATTTAATCCAATTAATGATATTTAATTCCTTCTAACAATTCATTCGGAAGGTATAATCACTTGTTGTGTGACCCATAGGGCCTTATATATTAAGCACTAATCAAATTAAGGTCTTAGTAGAATCCCTAGACGATTTACCAGACAAACTTAATATATAAGGACGTTTGTGAGGACTATTCAAACTCCCTGTAATATAGAGCTCATAGTGATATGGTCCTTTCATTCAATGAACATTCAACTAAGTCTAGAACATGATATTGTGTCTATTCCAATAACCCAGTCTCTGTCTCTCAATCTTTCTAGATGATCCATAACGATCATATTCGATATCCAAAACGAATATATCTTTGCATTAGCCAATGACTTTATAATCCATCTAGATATGAGAAGTAGAATGTTCTCTCTTAATCTATTACGAGGAATGAATCCTTTCTTGTCTCAACTACTACTCCATGTGCTTCGTGATGCACCCAACACATGCCGCATCTACCCCGATTGGAGTGCAAGCGTTGGTCATGGTCAAAGTACATCACTCCGCACATGTAGTACGTATTGACCTCAAGTCGGAGGACTATTACACTACTCTATACGCCGATAATCCCATAGACACATGAATAGAACTTATCAAATGGTTTCTCGGTGGGTATGCCAATATTCTCTAAAATATCTATGTGACCATCATGAATTACAGGAAATCATAGTTGTGAGATCAACTATACTTTCTAAAAATATGATGCAGTCCACATACCAATCTTATCGCATATCATCAATATCCCATTCTTGATGATCGTTGATTGGGGCTATTTTAGGACCTTATGTTTTATCATATAAGCTCCCACTTACTTATTGACAACATAAGTCCAAGGGAACACAATTATGAATAAGATATTGGCAATCGAAATACTTAATCATCAATGTGTAATACCATTTATATCAAATATATAAAACTGAATGTGATCAAGTACATA